CAGCTGTCCAACCGATCCTTGCTAACTTTCAAGTTCTCGTTGGTCTCTGCTTTCAGTTTTTCTAGCTGGGAGGTCAGGGAAGACCTCTCCTGTTGCCACTGAAGACGTTCTTTCTTCAGGTCCCGCTTAATCTTATCATAAGCAGACTTGGTATTATCGTTGATCTGCGTCTGTTCGGCCAATCGAGCTTTAACGAGGTTCCAGAACGTCTCCTTGTCCTTCTTTGCAAATGTTATTTGCGTATTCAAGTCCTGCTTAGACTTGTCCAGAGCAGCCTTGAGCTTTATGATAGCATCCAGCTGTTCGTCCTGTTTAGTTTGGCAAAAGTTCTTGAATAGCTGCATTTCAGTACAGGCCGACGTCTCAACATCACCCTTGACCTTTTGCAGCTTGGTAGCGGTCTCTTTTAGCTGTGCTTTCAGGCTACATATCTCATTGTGTACATCTCCATTCTTATGTTGATGAAGAATATCTAGGAACTGCTGCAGACTGTCCTTATTGATCTGAAGGAGAACTCTTCCCTCAGATTCAGTTTGGGTGAGCGTTGCCTTGCTGTCCTCCAGCTCACCTCTTACTTGTTCCTCCAGTGAACGTAGGTAAAAGTTCTTTGGAGGTTCAACCTCCTTGGAATTGAATTCCATTTCCGCCGGCATTATCTTCTTTTGCTGAACGTTGGCCATTCTTTTCCTTGTATTAATGGGAACTGCCAAAGTCCTCTCTAAAACAAAGTGATGTCTGAGCCAAAGTCCTCTCTAAAACAAAGTGATGTCTGATCTGAAGTCCTCTCTAAAACAAAGTGATGTCTGATCTAAAGTCCTCTTCAAACACAACTGACTACTGAGTGGAACTTAACAAGATAAGAAAACATTCCGTGATGTCATCCATGATGTCATCGATGATGTCATGCTTCCCTTTGATGTTGGTCACCTGGCAACCATTAGGTCATCGTTGCTATGGGATGCAGATCTCCTTTTTTTTTTTTTACCAATCTTGCTGTATTTATAGTATTACATCACGGCTGTTGGACAACAGATTGATAACTAATTAATTGCACATTTTGAAATGCATGAATTGCGATTTTTGGCAATAAATGTTGTTGTTGTTATAATGTTATATAGTGTGTTATTTAGAGACTGTTGTTTAATTGTTAATGTTTTAAAGACAAAACTACACACATTTGATCATCCTGGAGGCGGAGTTCCACCTGGTGGAACATGTTGAACTAGCGACTCTTGTTGTCCTCGTGCACTTTGCTCTCAACTCTCCATCATTTGACGGCTGTGTTTGAAGAGCCAACAAT